TCGGGGCCCGAGGGTCAGACTTCTCCCGGCCGGGCCGCAGGCCTTTTCTTTTCCCACCCTAACTAACCCGGGCCAAGGAGGGCCCAGCGGGGGCTACGAATTCCCCACCGCTTCCCCGACAAACTTTCCCCTATTCTGCAGCCGTGCAGCCCAGCTGCTCTTGTAAGATCCCGCCAACTACCCCAACCTTTTCCCTACTTCGCTGGCCGGGCGTTGCTGCCTGCCATCCCCAGCAGCTTTCCCATCCTACGAGTCGCAGAGATTTGCGGAAAGAAATCCGAGAGGTTGGGAACAAAACGGCCTCCGCGTTCCTCCCCGGGGAGGAAATGCCCCAGAACAGGAACAAAACAAGTGGCTCGCGACCCAAAACCTCCCTTCCCCCTTCAAAGAGTCAAACTCCAGAGAAAAACAGCCCAGAAACAGCCGCTGGGCTTTAACCAAGAACAAACCTTAAAGGGATGTTGGTTTAGGACGGGGACTTTGGACGGGAGCTAAGATTTCTCAATGCCGCCTCCCGTCCAGGAAAAAAGTCGGCCTCGCAAGAGAACCAAATGTTCTGCCGAGTTAAATTGGTCCCCGGGGGGTGGGGGAATCTCTTGCCAGGTTGATGGTTTAGGGTAGACTGCCTCTGATCCTAGGAGCTCCATTGATCTAGGCCAGTTAGAGCTGCTGGAATAGTTCTCCCGAAGCAGAAGAAATCAAAGGCCTGAGGTTACGCCTCTTACGGGACGGCTGTTAATGTCAGTTTGTCCTGTAATTATTATAAGCTGGGCAATTTGGAAAAAATGCCTTACAAATCAGCGCCGTTCACGTCTTTCCCGTAGGGACATGGCAACTGATCTGCAAGGCTACTTAACCATCTTTTTTCCTCGGCGTCCCTTTCCTCTGCCGAGGACTGCCAATTCGCTTCCAATCCCCAGGCGCTTGGCTAGACCGTTAATACAGAGTCAACGCATTGACGAGATCTTTTCTTTTCCAAAAGGGACGGCATTTTTTTTTTCCTTTTGCAAAACATGCACCTTTTCCTAATCTCGACTTCTCCATTTTCGCTGTGGTTTCCAGTTCCACTTTTAGGTGGCTTGGAGGGGCGGAGGACGGAGATTTGCACCGGGACGAAGCCCAAGCAGAGTGAACTGAATCCTTAAGCGAGTCTCAGTTAGTTTATTCACCCCTCTTCTGCTAAATATTATTTTTGCCTTGATCGTCAATCTGCCCCTTCACTTTTTCCGTTTGGAAAAGAAGACCGTACAGCCAGTGAATTCGGTGTTTCTCAACCTTGGCAACTTTAAGAGGAGGGGACTTCAACTCCCAGAATTGCTGGCTGGGG